TACACCGGTCTGGTCCAACTCCTCTGGCACCATTAAGCGTTTAGTGTGGTTAGCAAACTTGACGATGGTGGAGATGTGTTGGTTGTCGAATATGTCATTGACAGAGAGGTAGTAGTCCCGGAAATATTGACCTCTTATTTGGGCAATAGCCGGGCACTATCCAAGAAAGTGTGAGACAATCTCCTCTTATTCGCCACATTTAGGACAAGCACATGAATGTCCCGTGATGAGGTGCACTGCAGTTCTGTAATTTTGTCTGTTGTTACTGATGATGTTGATGTTTTTGTGTCCAAGTGTCAGTTTAGTGTGTCTAGGACCATCAGTAATCCATGATTCTTGATTAAGTTTGGTGACTTTGTCGTCGATCAGGCGTTTGATGTAAGATTGTGGAATTGGGCAATTCAAAGTGGATTCACTGGTTGTGCCAATTTTGGCCAGATCGTCTGCTTTTTCATTACCCCACAATCCGATGTGTGCAGCTATCCATCTGATCTCTAAGGTGTTAGTGGATCCGAGTGTATTGAGGGTGTCGTAACAGTCTCTATTAGTTCTACTCCTCGTTGAGGGTGAGGATATAGCTTGAATAGAGGAGAGACTGTCTGACCATATGATGATGTGTGTGTTGGTATAAGTTGAGAGATATTTACAAGCTTCGATGATGGCAGTGAGTTCTGTTTGATAAACGGTGCAATAATCGGGAAGCTTGAATGATCTTTCGTCTAGTGTAGTGTTGTTGTTGTCAGTGTACACTTCAGTGATTGGGCTGATGACTCCAGTGAAAGGGCTGGTGACTCTAGTGAAAGTGCTGGTGACGATGAGAAAGACCATAAACCAGAGATTCCTTCGGGAGCATGTAAGATTATATCCAAAGTTTGTTCGCCAATACGTGGTGTGTCTGGGTGTCAAAGATCTTCAAGGTGGGTGCTACTTGTGATGAACTCTAGAAGGATGGGATGGTAATACTCGGTCTGGCCGTCTTATCTGGAAGCCCATAAAATTCCAGTCCAGAAACCGAGTAAGGAGGTGCGGCTACTGATGAGAAGCCTCCTTAAAGTTTATTTGGGTTAGAAACGACATCTGGGTCCCTACCCTCGCACAAGATTATTTTCAATTTTCTTGTTGTGTTCCACAACTGTACTTCTGTACACTTCAGTGATTGGGCTGATGACTCCAGTGAAAGGGCTGGTGACTCTAGTGAAAGTGCTGGTGACGATGAGAAAGACCATAAACCAGGGATTCCTTCGGGAGCATGTACGATTATATCCAAAGTTTGTTCGCCAATGAGGTGTGTCTGGGTGTCAAAGATCTTCAAGGTGGGTGCTACTTGTGATGAACTCTAGAAGGATGGGATGGTAATACTCGGTCTGGCCGTCTGGAAGCCCATAGAATTCCAGTTCAGAAACCGAGTAAGGAGGTGCGGCTACTGATAAGAAGCCTCCTTAAAGTTTATTTGGGTTAGAAACGACATCTGGGTCTCTACCCTCGCACAAGATTATTCTCAATTTTCTTGTTGTGTTCCACAACATCAGTGGTGATCATATAACCAGCCCCGCTACCCGAGTCTGTGCGTGACCCGTCTGTGTAGCTTTGTGATGGTTTCACTGGGTATGTTGTCGATGGTGTTTTGGAGTGAGCCTCTATATTCAAGCATCATGGTTGGTATAGATAGGTCTCTCTCTGCTTTGGGTGGTATGTTGAGGTCTACCATGAATTGTTTGTTGATAGTGGTGTGAGTTGTGATGGTACCTTTTCTGGGGGCGATAGTTTCGAGGGTTAGGCTACCATAGGCTTGAAGCCTGGCAGTACCCTTTGCTGCTTCGCCTCTCAGGAAAAGTTTGATTTCTGAAGTGTTAGTGAGGTGGTTCAGTGCGATGAAGGGAGTATTATGCAATAGGCATGGCACCAGACATCATTCTTAATGCCAATGCCTGAACTCTTTTGAACTTCCTCGCGTTGGTGTCTGTTTGGATTGCCCTAATCCATATACTACAGCAGTATGATAGAATAGGTCTGATGACAGCGGTGTACATCCATTTGCATATTTTGGGGCTCCATACCCCATGTGGGGCCGACAGCTCTTTTACATTGCATAAGGGATGCCGTAGCTTTTTTGGTGGTATTGGTGATATGTTCATTAAAATTGAGCTTGCTGTCGAGGGTCACTCCTAGGAATTTGGCAGATTTGGAAAGACCTATAGTGGTGTTACCCACCACCACAGGTCTTAGTGTCCATTTCTTATTCCACTTCCAGGTAAACATGACTATTTGTGTTTCGAGTGCGCTTATGCATAGATCTTTGGTTTGGCACCATTTTTCTATTGTGTTGATGGTTTTGCGTGTTCTGTTCCAGATGATATCTAAATCATTCCCCTCTGCTAGAGAAATCAGATCGTCCGCATGTGACAAGTAACGAGACAAGGATGCTCTAGGATGAAGAGCAACAAATGATCAATTGTTCTAGACGTGAGGCTTTCTGCAGTAACGGCCCTAGCGAACAGGGGATGGTTGTTCGCTTGAGTACTACGACGCGGTTATACTTACACAAGTCTGGCAAAACAATTTGTGAGGCTATTGGCCGGGCGCCGCCGTAGACTCAACACATGGTCCTGCCGTTTTCTGACAAAAGTGCTTAAGTAACACAAGGTTCATTTTGTGCAAATTGACAATTCTGTAATTGCTCTTGGCTATAGCTGCTGCCACATTTAAACTGCACCCACTATGTTTCTAAGGTGCTTTGTCGACTTTTGAGACTTGTGACAAGGTTTCATCATCCTTACTTCTCGGAAAGTGCCTAAAAATCACAAATTATAGTTTGAATTTCTTAGAAAAGTGCTTAACGAATCGGAATTCTACCAGCATTTTGACGCTTGTTTTGACGAAGAGTCGATTGGTGAAAGTACGGGATAATAATATAAAATAAGTTTCTTTCTTTAGAAATTCAGATGAGGCTTTCTTCATAAAGGCCAAGGTTTTGCGAATTATCTATATTATATTTTAAACTTGACGAATTCCCCCCGGCAACACTGAAAATTAACCTAAAAATGACCCTCAGGCTTTAGATTTTCTATAATTAACGTCAAAAGTGAGGTAAAATAAACGTTAGAATAATGGCGTTATTTTAGCTTTTTAGCGAAGGTAAACATCAAGAGATTGCATGTGAGCGAGCAAGAACAGATTAGCAACAGGCGTTGTCATGCTCTATGATACGTCATAACTAGCTCACAATACAATTTACGCTATGACTATCCATAACTTTGGTTGTGATTGATGTTTTTTAATGCAGTAAAAGTATCGATTAGGGAATACTTAAATAAAACCTTTATCGTTATCGGCAAATAAAAATCCATACAATTTATATTACGGAGCTAGATCGTAGATAGATAGATGATAACAAGAAACTATAACATAACTGATTTTAAATTTCCTTGAATAAAACGTTCAGCTAGCGGATGTACAGGTTTGAGGAAGCCTATGAGCTATAGGTAAGCAGATAACTTAGTGTTTACCACATTATAAGGCAAACACTCATAAAAATGGTCAGGAACAAAAATGGTCAGGAACAGGTTGTAATAATACGAAATATTGAAACTGTCCCTTTGATCACGAATCAATTCAAACAAAAAGGTAGATTGAAAACAGCGTGAATATGAGGTATATAAGATGAGCTATAGAAATGAATAAATATATTTCGCTCTATAAGGCAGCTGACCCAGGCCGAGTATATCGAGCACAAAATAAAAGGATAAAACGTTTTTCCTGTAAGCTTGTAGTAAAAATATACTAGCTTGTTGAGTATTACATGCGATGAGCTATTCTTACTTTATATCACAAGATCCAATCATGTCCTAACATTCCCTACTCCTCTACTCAAAGTCAATTTCCCATTCACTGTGGTAATCGATAAGCTAAGAAGGTACACGAAACGTGTGTGAACAATGTTGCGTTCTCCAACTATTGTTGTGCGACGTACCTACAGCTTTAAACGTCACGAGGCACACTGTAACTACTCCTATATCTACAAATCTTCTCTCCAGATACTGTTTATTATTGTAGGTTTACAACCTACCAGGACGCGCGCCGAGTTGGACTCGTCGACGGTCCAATATATGGAACAGATATTTTACGAGTATCACCCGTTAAGTTTATTAAGGCAATACCATCGAGAATATCTCTATATTTTATATTTAAAACTTGACGAAACAATCGGGGGCTCATAAGTCTACAAAGTTTTTGAACTATATCTCTCTTTTTAGCGCCTGCTATTAGTATTACCCGTGATTGATTGTTTGGGATAGCTATGATTATACCTAGTCGGATCAATCTCTCTTCCTTCTGCTGCAAAAAATGGAGCTGAACGGAAGAAAACCTCGTTGTGCTCTAATTTCTACTCCATTTGGACCGAGTCATGCTGAAACCTGATAATCTTCACCTTTTCGAGCAGTTGTCTTTCTGTTTTGCAGCGGTTGCTTGTCCCATATGACCTTATAGTTATAGGCCAAGAATGAAAATCCGAACAGGCCAAAGAAAAAGCAGTACCCACCTTTTCCACTGCACCACAAAAGTCCTCAAGTCATAATTATGTAGCTCTTCCTCACTGTTTGATGAAAAGTTCCACTTTATGGTGGAACGAGTCAGCGCACATGAACGTATGGCCTGGCTCCAGATATTTCATTGTTATCGTGTCAAAATTGGGGTTTCGGGGGGTCGGCGCATGTATCCAATGGTCCTCAGGGATAGTTCTTGACCCAGAAACAAAAGTTAGACCAAAAAACCCGAAATTTCCAAAGCACTTTTGTCAGAAAATGGGAGAAATGCTATGTCCTATAAATGCGTGTCGTACTAAATTCCTGGGTTAGATATTCAATATTAAACTACTACTTTAAGTTTATTTGCACAAAGAAAACCAGTGATTTTTATTTCTGCGAGATTATTAAACTTCAATTGACAAATTGTGTACGTCATACCCTGAGGAACGCTTGAACAACATAATCCAGTTGTATTTAGCACATATGTGCATGACGACACACTCTATCAGAACACTTTACCGTCCCCTGGGGACAATCCTCCGTATCTGAGAATATTTAGTAGGTAAAAAATAGTGGAAAAGTTTGTTTTGTTTCTTCAAATTCTGATAAATGTGGTTTAGATAAATTGACGTTGAGATCAATTTTATTAGAGTTTTAAGTTTTAAGCTTTAAGTTCGCTTGTAAGACTATCATAAAAGCAGTATTATCCCAGGAATAGCAAAATAAAGTGAGTTCTCACCATCTTCATCCCCATCACCTGCCAGGACCCTTATCTCGCAAACAGTCAAAGTTCTTACACTTCCTCCACTGTAGAACTCCCAAAATAATCTGGAACCTTCCACACTCTCTTCCAAATCTATCAATGCTCTGTTTCCTTCCACTTCTCGGATAACTCCGATCCTTTTGTCCAGAAAATCTCCTGTAAAACTCACGAGATTATTGGGATCATGTCGGAGCTAGTGGTAAAGTATATGGTATCCTGAGAAACGATTTAATTAGCACGACGGCACGTGTGTGCGTGATCGCATATACCGTCAGAATTGTTTAAAATAATCGCAGATAACTTTATTGATATAATACTGACCTCTATTTCCGATGTGAACTTTGCTTCCAATAATGCTTTTGGGATCAGTTGATATGATTTCAACTCTTTGCACCTTAGTTGCTCTTCCCAGGTCCAGTTTGAAGTAGGGGTTCGTTGATTCTCTGTGATTTGAGATACTTAAAAGTTATGATTTGTTTAATTTAAACACTGAGGAAATAAAGTGACCCAAGTGAAAATATAACTTATGGACGTTATATAACTACGTTACACCTTGGACGTAATTATTATTCATATTGATATGTAGTACAGTCAAATACATGAGTATTATCTTGTATTTGTAACATCATCGAAACAACATAAATCTGTAACGTCTTTTTAATGTGCTGCCTTATCTGGAGGGGGAATTGTTTAAAACATATAAGTGATACGAAAAGTTTGTTTTAGCAGGAGCTTTCAAAATACATGTGTAAATCGTCTCCAGCTAGTAGCTACCTTATTAATATGCTATCAATTAATATGTCTAATTACGCTAAAACGTTCAAATTATTTTTATAGTTAGGACACGAAGGGTTTTAAACAATTTGACCAGTGCATACTTGGTTGAGAAGCAAGTGTCTTGATTTCCATCAGTAGCCTCTGTAACAAGCTCGCCACCAGAACTTGTCACGGTTTTATGCAGAGCAACATTCTTTAAATCGTCAACTGTAACAAGTAACAGTAAAACATGTTTATTATATGGATTTTTACGCAGTGATATCGATAAATCTGTTTGTTTTGGCCGAAGTTATATTAGTGTAGCCGAATAAATAAATAAAGTCCTATAGGCCCAATTTAAATATGATGTGTTTTCTTGTTTTAGATTTCTTTATAGCATTTTACCATTCCACTAAAACTTTAATCAAAATAAAATTACAACATGAATATGTGAAAATTTGAATGGTTAATACGGCGGAAAAATTGTTCAAATCAAACATTATTAAATCAAATCGCTTCATCGGGAAAATCTCTTAAGAAATAACATGAACATCAGTAAAAGTTACTGTCCCTTGTGATATACTGATTATTGAAGTCCGATAATTTAGCCGGAGTAAGAACCCTAACATTCCATCCCTCATCTTTGTCCGGTTCTGATATAATCATACTGTGAACTCTGCTCCTAGGTCTAGTAGAACCGTCAGAACTTAGACTGGTAGAAGAGGAGGACAAGTGGACGAGAGAGGACTGTCTGTGTCGGGGGTGGTTCCCGCGAGGGGATGTGGTAGAGCACGCGCAGTTAACCACGTACCGCTTCATGACCTTCTTCTGGGGTTTCAAGCTCAGGAGCCGTCTCTCTGCCAAGTCCCGGTCTTCCATCAGCTGTTTTGTTAGTTTCTCCAGCTCTACTCTTTGTCCCTTCATCTTCTCCATCTCATTTCCCAGCCGTGTCATGTCTTTATGGTACGTTTTGCTCGTACCCACTGCCATGTGACGCTTCGTTTTCAGCTCTGTGTTGGTAGATCTTGCTCTCCCAGAAGGAGGTCGTGAGGAGATGGTACCCACATCCCGAAAGGACCTGAGATCTGAGGTAGAAAGATGCTTGGTGTGGGAGATTTGTGTATCTGTGACTGTTCCTCTATCTGAAATCTGTAACGTCCTAGTGTTAGTGCTGCAGTGAGTTGAGGAGGGAACTGCTGTGTGTCCTTTATCTTCCACCTTGGTTATCTCAGTCTCTGTCATTTTGGTCCTCCTCGTTATCTCTGTTCCAACAGACTTTGTCCCTGTCGGGGGTTTATAGCTCACTCCAACCGACACCATCCTTCTCCTCACCTTCTCTTTGTCTCCTATAAACGGTTCTCCTTGCACTCCTCTGTTCACTGTCACAACTCTCCTCTCCACCCTTCCTCCCTCGGGAGTCTCTGTCCCCACCCCCACAGTAACACCCTGTTTCCTCCTCTCCTCAGTCATCGTACTGAACTCCCGTCTCCTAACCACCTCACCCTGCACCCCTACATCAGCGGAACACAAATTAGTGCTAACACTCTGAGAGCGGGTGCTGGGGGAGGGTGTCCAGGTTCCTGAGTCTACTGTTATGGGAGGTGGAACTGTCACTGTACCACGTGACTTCAGTTCAACACGCTTTTTCTTCTTCTTCTTCTTCTTCTTTGTTTCCTTCAAAATAGTGACCGGAGCTGGTGGTGGGGGCAAGTAGGAGAGAATAAGTTTTTTCTTCAAATTTCCCTCGACTGCTACCACATTTTTGTTTTCCTCGAGTATCTTGCTTGTTAGAGCGGTTATATCCTTCAAATTTTTCACATCTGCAACATTGATTTTCTCCTCCTGAACTTTTATCATAGAAACATTTGTTGGCACTGCTTTTGGTCTGCTTCCTACTGATTTACTCTGCATTGTTTTTCTTTCTTTTGTTTCCTCATCTTCACGGACGGATTCCAGAGAAGAGCCTCTCCGTGAGGACTCTCCAGTACTGTTTGTTGCTTTCTGTCGGACTCTGGACGAATCTTTGGGTTTGGAAGACATATTTCTCCAACTTGGTTTCAAATCTGTTTAATCTTTCACTGCTTATACTTGTATGCTGTTGACTGATGACTCATCTGCTCAAAGATGACCATGTTAAGAAAAACAACAACAGTCCGTTCCTAAACGGCCATGAACATGTCAAGTGGTCAAAGAATTAACTTATCGATGAGATGGTGTCGTAACTTTATAAGACATTGGTATGTTTATATACCAGTATGATTTATTATCTAGGTGATGTCACTATTATACTTCTACTAATCATGTACCTTGTATTACAGGTAGAGAGTGGACACTAGTTGATGTAGTTGTACATGTGAGCCTATTACTAACAGAAGCACTTCAGCAAGCCTATCACGGTTATAAACACCTCTGGGATACTGATAGGATAATCAGCCGTGATAGATTTCTGATAATCCCGCTGTTTTGTTCACGTTTTTTTATTACGCGTATCACGTGACTAACTACCTACTACGACCGACAGGTAAAAAATGTCACCTGACCTATGAATTAACGTAAGAACTATAAATATTCTTGATCTACGTATCTGTCGAATTGCAGGAGCTGGCAAAGTTCCAGCACAGTACTCCTTACTATTAGTATTACATTACTTGGACCATCACTTCGAGATGGCCAGGCCTACTCTCATGCTGTCTATAGGTGATGATTAACTCTGAAAAACTAGGGACAACTGGGGAATGATCCCAGAACCTCGACATTTCGCGTATCTTGCTCTACCAATTGAGCTACTGACCCTGATTCTCAGAGCGAAATCACCACTCATATACAGCACAATTTCATGTAGTGTGGATACATGCGAATATATATTCTAAATAACTGATTACTTGGACCAGTTCCAGAACTTGTCTTGACGGTTACCGACTTGACGGTTACCGACTTGACGGTTACCGACTTGACGGTTACCGACTTGACGGTTACCGATTTGACGGTTACCGACTTGACGGTTATCGACTTGACGGTTATCGACTTGACGGTTACATTTGTCTGGTAAATTGTATTTTAGAAATTGCACTGTTTGATATGAACCATATATTATAGTCGTATACTTAAACTTTGATGAACTTCATGACACGATATCGACTCCACCTTTTTTCGCTTGCCAGGCTTAACTTGAATAAGTAACGAAAAAGTAATGAAAAAGTAACAAAAAAGTAACGCAAAGGTAAACAACAAGTAATAAAAAGGTACATAAAAGCATCCAAAAAGTATAGCAATCATAAAAAAGAACCAAAAAGTAACCACGGAAAGTAACCATGAAAAGTAACCATGAAAAGTAACCATGGTAAGTAACCATGGAAAGTAACCACGGAAAGTAACCATGGAAAGTAACCATGAAAAGTAACCACGGTAAGTAACCATGAAAAGTAACCATGGAAAGTAACCACGGAAAGTAACCATGGAAAGTTACCACGGAAAGTAACCACGGAAGGTAACCATGGAAAGTAACCACTGAAAGTAATCTGGAAAGTAACCAATACCAGGTATGACGTCAGGTTGATCGTGCTCCCCTCTATCTCTCCCAATAACAACAGTATACATGACACGTGACGTGATCTGACACATGTTTACACGTGTTCTGGAGAACTTCGCAAACCCTTTGTCTCCCCAGTCAGATCCCCAACTGGAAGAGGAGATAAGGTTAGATTTTACTGAGGAAACCTGGCGATATACAAAGAAGCTGTGGAGAACATTTATTAAGAATCTGTATTAATTATAATTTAGTATATTGATCTTTGATAGATAAATGTTCGTGTCTATCCTGATAAAGGTGAACTAGAAAAAAAGGAAATATTCCCTGTAACCTGTTCTTAACCTCCCAATATCGAGGAGCATACCCAACAATAACAACCCCGTGATTTACCCTTTTGGGGGTTTCACATCCACTGTACACACCATCCCTGAAAATATTTCACTTTTTAGATTCCAAATAATCACAGTTACAATTACCATACAGAGTGCCGAGCCATTACACAACTTTGTGGGCAGTACTTTCAGGACTATTATACCTTTCAGTCAACGACATCTTCGACACGAGCGTGCTAAATCACTCTACAATCAATCTTCGAGATTTTTTCCATTCACTCTTTTTTGTAAAAAAGGTAATAGTGAAAGGTTACGAATGGTCGTTTTTGCAGAAAAACGTGGATTTTGGGGAACGAGGTAGGTTTTTCAAAGATTACATCATCATTTTCAACTCTTATTTTCACTTATAGTTATATAGGTATTAAATAAAATCATATTGTTATGTATCAGATGATTTTGTAAACATTGGCCGGTGTACCAAAAAACCGGTCCCCAAACAAAAAAACAGACGAATCGATGTATTTTTGGACGCTGATTCCAAATCACCCCCATGACATAGGGTTAAAATGCTCCCCTGGCGAGATATTGGCGAAAAACTGTCTTGCAATCACGTGATACGACAGTATAATAAGGAATTTTGTTTAATTTCTCGTTAGGGTTAGGGTTTCAGCATATGCTTTTGTCAGGAATTGGGTTAGGGTTAGGGATGGGATCAGATTAGAGGGTTAGGATTTTGAATAGTGGTTCAGGGCCAGGTAGAGAACGGGTTGAAAAAGTCACGTGACAGTTGAGTGTAGAGTGATTAATCATCGTCTCCTTCGACAACCAACATAATATCTCTAATATAGTTTTATTCTCCACACACACTAAGAGTCTTACTATGCCCGAGGAACTAAATCAAACCGGAGTGACCTAACCTAAGGCTCTGGGTATGATCCTTCTGGAACCGGAAAAATTTACTCTTAGTAAATTTTCATGCTATCATTCTAGTATAAGTCCCGCCTCTATTTAATAAAAGATGACATTTGTCTCAAGAATATGATAAGTTTTTAATGCTCACACAAGTTATTACTATCTTACTTGTACGCGTAAAATTCATCCTCTACTGTAAATGCCGCTGCTGGGATATACATTGTTAAAATCCTCTCCAGCGAGCTTGAGGAGGCTTTGTAGTGACCGATGTAGTCCGCATTCTTTATTCCGTTGGCTTTTTCTTTCCATCGGCTACATTTATCAGCTGAGAGCGTGAAAAGTTTAAAAAGGGCCATTTTCTATCGTTTTCATCAGACAATTCAAATTGAAATTTCGGCAGTATTTCTAAAATAAAAAGGTCCTGATTGCTGTTGGATTATGTTAAGAAGTAGATTCACTTTGAAACCTGCTGGAAAGTAAGGTATATCCGTCATAGCAGCTAGTCTACCAGCTGACTGGATGTAGCTCCACACTGATGTGTACCAGCCTCCTCTACAGCCATCCTTTTCCTCGGGATAACTGCAGTCTAACGCTTCCTGAAATATAATCAGAACTAGTTGGGTGACAAAATATTGAATCGCTCTTGCCTCTTCGTGCATATTACATTATTGTCTGCTATTTTGAATTTTTTCTATCTTCGCAATTGGCTATTTTGTTAACCAGAACCTTAACAAAACTAATTTTTCTGTCAGCGTCCGAAGAGTAGAGGCTGATATATAGTCGAAAAATCAAAAGTTAGGTACCTCATTTAAAAATTTTAATTTCGCAGCTGCCTAGTTAGAATTATAAAACAAATTGCCTGTTATGTTGCAAATTACAAATATTATTGAACATTCAACTGAATAAGAAGTAAACCTTTTCACTAAAAGATTTGAGGACCCCAGTAGCAGATGAGTAAGATCCCTCAAAAGCTCCAACTCCAGCAAATGCCCAACATGATCCACAAGATTGCTGGTCTTTGACTGCTGTCACGTGCCCCTGTGATCAACAAACGTATAATATCTGAGGTAATTGGTAAGAGAAACAATATGATTTCCATTAACTACAGTTAAGCGATATTTGAACTTCGTTTGCTGTTAAGAGCTCTGATATTTGAGAGTAACAGCCTATCAAGCATATCAGAAACTGAGGTGATTAAATGTAGTAGTCGAGTTCGGCCTAAGATAAGGAACATACACGTACGTACGAAGTACGTCAAATTGGCTCGTTAGCAGTGATATGAGGTGTGAAGTAAACTGTGTAAGGTACTTATTTTGTATAGTTCCACAATCAACAAACGTGTCATCATCCTAGTTATTGAGGCACAGAGACAAATTGGTGACTCAGGTGCCTCAAGGGCCTCAAAGTGCAGTGCCTCAAGGTCCTCAATGCGTAACAAGGTTATCTGCATAGCACATTATTTTAAAAGTGTTAAGCTTCGTTAGGTTAAATTCGAGGAGGGTTATAAACAAAAATAACTTTTTCTCCTTTTTTAGGACATCGTGTAATTTTTACGAACCTTAAAAGTCTAGATAGAACACGAGAAGCCTACTAACAAATAAAGAAGCCTACTAACAAATAAAGAAGCCTACTAACAAATAAAGAAGCCTACTAACAAATAAAGAAGCCTACTAACAAATAAAGAAGCCTACTAACAAATAAAGAAGCCTACTAACAAATAAAGAAGCCTACTAACAAATAAAGAAGCCTACTAACAAATAAAGAAGCCTACTAACAAATAAAGAAGCCTACTAACAAATAAAGAAGCCTACTAACAAATAAAGAAGCCTACTAACAAATAAAGAAGCCTACTAACAAATAAAGAAGCCTACTAACAAATAAAGAAGCCTACTAACAAATAAAGAAGCCTACTAACACCGTGGCAATTGTCCGGCTATCTGTATTATCACTAGTCTAGAAGGAGCACATAATCGAATCAATGATGGAAATCCGTATTACTTCACGACTTCCCCGGTTCCATTCGATTCTTCAGTGTAACCACTATAACCACGGATCTTAAAATATTCGATACGTATGCGAGATATCACCTCGAATGCTATTATATAATCCAGTCAGAAGATTTCAAGATTCAGTGTAGGTCAGTTATTTTGTTTCATCCTTCGTTTACTGCTGCCAGTTTAGCTTTTTCTCAAGTCAGATTATTTGTATGTTCATGTTGTTGATTATTACTATGTCTAGAACAATTTAAACAGTCCAACGCTATCTATCGACTATCTTACTTATAATTCGAAGGATTATGTTTGTCTGTGTGTATAATGTATAATGTAGTGCAGAGTCTAGCTGCAATCTAGTGGTGTTGAGTTACATGAATATTTCTCTAACCTTCGTAATTCATAAATTATGTTGTTGCTTCATTGCAGATATTTTGGTCTTGTGTAAATGCAATTGTAAAATTGTAAATTAATAAAATTGATTTGAATTTTGAATTGAAACTACTGAGTTACATTATTTTATCTCATGAATTTGTTTTTATTTATTTATTTTTTAAATTAACGGTTTTTAACTTTTTAAACTTTTTTATATGTAAATAAATTATGACAATTATGTTAGTTATAGAATTTGTTTGTTTTTAAATGACGAAGGCTGTGAAATGTTCACAGTTCTGATAATGAGGAAATCAGAAAGATTGTTTAAAACTAGTGATGATGTTTATGTCATTATTCTTAATCTAATCTAATCTAATCTACCAGCTAGGCAGCGGTAATTATTTTCTTGGTAACCCTACACCTAAAAATGTACTTCCTATCATGCTCAAAGTAAATTCTTAAATTACTAACCCAATTTTGTAGGACTATGCGATGAGGTTCTGAATATGCTGTTGTTTTGAACTTTTATCGATAATTTGCCACATCGACTGTGTTTCGTTTTCCGTGTAAGCCTATACTTAATAGCACCATCCCTGATTGGAGCAATTTAACCGGTCTTGTCCCTTGTTTAGTCATTAACCAGGCTGGTACTGGCGACTGATTGCTGATACATCATTCTTGTATTTAAAAAACTTATATTATATATTGCAATATTGACAAACATTCTGACTTATTACACTCCACACCTGGCGTATTAATATTATACACTCACTATACATCTTGTACTAGCTTCCAGAACTTTCAGTCTGGCTTTTAGTTTGGGTTATATTGTGTTTGTTTGAGAGTTTGTTTGACTTCAGACTGTTCATGGCTTACTCGAATGAATCAGTTATTAGCTCGCGGATAAATACACCACCAGCTTGCTTGTACTTGGTGCTACACTTACAGCACGGAGATCGAACTCCTAATCTCTCAGTTGTAAAATCCCAGTCACGCCACCGGACCACCGTCCACCAAGCCCGACGGCATTCCACATTTATGACAATAACATAAACCCGCCACGCAAAGGGTTTATATAACAGATCATCCCGCGCTAGCGGGATGATCTGATAAACACATACGAGTGCGCGCAGCGCACGAGTTTTGTGTTAATATGTAATCCCGAAGCGCCAGCTGAGGGATTACATTTATTTAGCCCTGAGCGTGAAGTGTTTATGGATTATAATTATCTCCGGCGATTTCGACAAGGGATTTATACTTTAGAAGAGAGTGATAAAATAGTTTTTATTTCAATCTGAATGTCAAACCGATCTGTCATAGTGGAGCAATAGCTTGAACGTTAGCAGGAACAAGAGCTGAAAGGAGAGCAAGCAAAACAATACCATTTTTAGGGCACGGACAAGGGTAGCTGGCTAGTCGCCAACTTCTCACGCCACGCGTTGGAGAAATTCCAAGAATTAGCTGCTTTGGCAACGTTCCGAGGAATTTGCGTGTAAAAGAAGTGGACGGTTACGATGTTTCATATCACGTGGTGCGCTTTCGTGTCAAATGGTATAGACTCGGCGTATGCTATTGGTGGCACGTGGTACGCACGTGACGCGCCCACGTGATCGCACGTCTAACTGTTCTACTATTATCGAGTTCTAATCAGCAGTATCATTGATTATTGTAAGTCGGAGAATTGAATGATAAACATCAGTTACGACTAAAAAGCGGGCCGGGTTTATACAAATTTCCGGGGCGGGATGATATCACCTTGAGATGTTTATCTAACAGCGGGCCGGGCTGAGTGATAATATGATCCCGCGTCGAAATCCCGGAGATATTTATAATATAGTAAATCTCTAAGAATATCGATTATTATCAAAAATTGATTTTAATTTCAATATCACTGAGTTTGACAATACACCAATATTCAGTGTCTAGTGTTTATATATGAGACAATTATTGTGATAATATGTGACTCAGTTGAGTGCAACGTGAAGTCGGTTTGTCAGCTACCCAAAACACAGGTTTACATATTTTTAGTTAATTGCTGACAGTAGTCAGTATGTAGTGGCATAAAAGTGTACATGTAAAAAATATGCTGAAAAATTCCTATCCGTTATTGATTGCTTAAATCAATGGCATTATATTAAGCACTTTTGTGAGAATCGAGCTCGTTTCACAAAAGTGCTTAAGTGCAATAAATTGTTTTTTTCAGGCCAAGACCACGAATCACCAATTGCCGTCAATAGGCCAGTTTTGGGACGAAGACACAATGCCCCTTTTCAGTTCCCCAAATGCACCATTTTGAAATAACGGCAACCAGGTTTTCCAAAATGTTATTTAGCACTTTTCTCAGAAAAAATGCCAATTTTTGCAATTTTAGGGGGTTCCAAAAAAAGTGGTTCGGGGGTGTAGGCGAATGTATCCACTGGTCCTCTCAGGGATAGTTCTGACCATAAACAAAGTTAGACCAAAAAACCCGGAACTTTCCCCAAAATGTTACTTAAGCACTTTTGTCAGAAAACAGCAGTGGTGTGTGGGTTATTTACCTGGGCACACACCTTATCTCTGACCGGCGGGTCACACAAATTTCTCTGCTCCCCCTCTTTCAAGCAAAAGGCTGTGGTACCCTATACTACGTGGCCAGAAGGAAATTCTTGTGGAACTCATAATGTACGAAAATAAGAGAACCAATCCAAGGGGATGAGTGGGTGTCCGTGTATGCATGAGGGATAGTGGCGTACAGATTTTGGGCATTCAGGAGATCGGGTATAGTACATAGCACATCCCAACAGGTTTGTTGCAACGCTTGAAGTTGAAGGTGGGAACTCAGCTTTCGATAATAAATTGTTATTTTGATTATTGCTGATACTTTTATTAAAAGTGAACCCTACTTATTGTATTATTTATTGATCAAATAAACACACTGTACCTAAGTTAGGTAACTACTAACACGGTAGTTTCGTCAGGATCATGCTACTATAGTTGAGCACTGGATAACGCTCTACTGTCTTTTTCAACAAAATTATAACTTGTCCAGGTAATGCGGGAAAATGAACCGAACCGGCGGGGGGTAGGAACCAAACCTCTTAGTGAAGTTAACCCACGTCTTCACTTGTACGAAGTTGGGGGATAGTGTCGCTCGGTGCTACAGGATGATCGAGCGGCTTTTGGACCCGAGTCGTATTGGCCGCTTGTGTGATGACGTGAGAATAACGATGTGCTGATTATTTCATTTTCTTGCTTTTCAAGCTACGGTCCCTGGAATTACTTGCGGAAATGAAACTATTACCGTCGTTGTGAGTATAGGTTTAAGGTGTTATGGCTAGGTTCATAACAGTCTTATCTAAACTTAAGTGTTTCGTACTGGCACGAAACTAAACACTTTTTTATCCGATCATATTAGAAGCTAGTTTATAAACGGGAAAAAAAAAAAAAAATTAGACTTTAGAACCACTTTTTTAGTGAAATTAAAATTTGTTTAATCTTTCAGTCTTGTACGATGGAACATTAATATTTGGTGTGTTTATACTGAACTCAAACTCCGGATTGTCAAAGAGGGAAGAGCTAAACGAAGCATGGAAGAGGAGTATGATAACGATACGATTTTTGTGGGGGGATAATTCACTATTGATATCTTAGGACTCCTCTGCCCAGATTTACCAGTAAACTGGACTTCGGTCCTCGGTGAATTTGGAGGTTAAGAGACGATTTTAATAATAATAATTGATTCATATTACTATCGATTCATTAAATTGATTTAATTTGTAGACTGCGTAATTTTATAAGTCTATTTTTACTCGATTGATGGGGAAGGGTTGTCAAACAAAAAAGCGAAAATTTTCAATCTGGCAGCTGATTCGTTTTAGCGCACGCTTTAAAATTCCATCAGTACGTGTGTCAGGGAACATTTAAAAGACGTTCAAAATAAACGTCAGCAATTCACTTTTTTTTCTAATGAGACCAAACCCCAATTTTAGATCCTGGAGGATGTAGCAAAAGTAATGATGACGGTTGGCGAAGGAACAGCGCAGTTCTGCTGAGACAGTGCGACATGGTCCTGGTGGAGGGACATGGTTAAGGGGTGACATGGGCGAGGCTCTATTGCTACTATGATCTCGCTGTTTTATGTTCTGTTCGTACAATTAAACGGAGCAAATATGTTGCAATTTTGAACGCGAGCGTCAACGTTGTAGTATTACGCATGCATCATCATGATGATGGTCGTGCGGTTAATTGAATTTAAATTAATCGATTGTTGGCAAGTTAAAACTATAAGACGAAGCAGTGGGCGTAACGCCCGGGCAAACGTTGTACGCCACTGAGGAGCTGATTGTTGTAATTTATTCATCAGTAAGTTCTTGAAGGAATACTTTTTTATTGGTTTAAAACAAACAAACATTTTTTAATTGTATCAAAAGTTATATTTTGAAAAAAAAAACTAAATCAATTTATAATTATTGTAATTGTAATATTTTTCTTATCATCGATTTAAAAAGTGTTAATTTGTTTGTAAATTATTCAATGAATATAAATCGAAAATTCGTATAGTATTTACTGGCGGTTCACTACCAATAATTAACATAAGAAAAATTAAGAAAGATGTTCAAACTTTTTCTAGGTTAGAAATTTTAAAAACGTGCGTCGTATATTACAAAATAAAAATCAGTCTGAAATTATTGTTAATCGCAATAAAAATGATTAAGTTGCGATTAAACTTCTGCAATAAAATTGTGTTCTCTTTACCATATGTACTCTACAATGTTATGTCCAGTTATTTCATCGAATTAAACTCAATAAGTTCCTATCAAGTTCTACTTCATTTTATTTCTCCTGGGATTTTCACATATGATAGGTAGGTGGTCTGAACCTATGTTTTCAAAGCAGTTGCACTTGAATGAGTCTTCAAGGGTTTTGGAGTCCAAAGTTTATGTCAGGGAACTTTTACCACTCGGTGTAGCGCTTCTCCTTTCTCTCCCTGTAGAAATTAAAATTAAAAATAATACCGTAATTAAAAAATTGCAACAACTGGCTGCAATGTGGTTTGAAAATTAATCTGTTCAAAAAAGTAAAATTCAACTTTTGTTTATACTTTTAAATTAACACGGATCGAACGCATTGCATTATAATTATGAATGTTTTACAAATTAAATCCATGCCCGATTTAGTTTCTCATTCACCAGAAATGTAATTTTTTTGTCAATTTGTCCTAATAAAACCCATGGCCATTTTATCTTAGCGTCACTTACCAGGTACAAAGTGAGGTGAACCGTTCATTGCAGCAAACCATTATCTTTATTTTCATAAATTGAATAATTTTGTGCCATGATGTTTTCAGGTGTTTGTCCAATTTGGTTATTGTGGGCTTATAAATCACAGCACTCCACGCAGTTGTTGATGCAGGGATCCAATGATATTTGCCTCGTCAGAACAATTTGCCTCGTCTGAGCAATTTGCCTCGTCAGTACCAATTTGCCTCGTCAGGCCAATTTGCACTGGTCAGAGCAATTTGCCTCGTCAGAGCGATTAACTTTTAAATTTAGGCCCAGGGGTAGTAAAACATTGATCTATCAAACCATTTCGTTCTTTTGCTGGATGCTGACACTGAGGGTTTCTATTTTTTTGTGTCAAGTTCATGCCTCCTTTTTTATCTTGAAATTCAGATCTTCTTTATGTACATAATCAGTCCTCACCGGCTCACCTTACTTATTTAGCCGGGCTTAGGAGCCTATCCTTTTCTTTCAACTTTTGTATCGGGTATTTCTGGAGTTATACTACACTTGTCCGTAAGCTTTAGTTTCTTGGATAAGAACTATATTTACATTTTCCTTCTTCTTACTTGCTGAGATTTCACAGTTTTGTTGTTGGATGCCCCGTGCGTTCCATTGTAGAAATTTGAGATGGGCTTGCCGGATGGTTTACAAGATTTTGGACGGGGTTTTTTTTACAATCGTCTGTGTCACACTCAAGGCATTATTACAGTTACAAGTATTCGTAACGACCACGATGCAGTGTTGTGCATTTGGAAAATGGCATTCATCTTGCATGTTTGGACTTTGAACGTCATTCGATTGACTTTTTGCCCTTGTTCCGAAAAACACACGAGGCAGCTGCTTTTTTAAGGGTCGGTATTGGGTTCGCCTTTACAAGGGTAGCCTTTCGAATGGACCCTTCCTTTTTTTAAATCACTCTGAGTATTTTGGCGCACATTCGATGGGCTTTGTTCGGGCATTAGCAATAGTACAAAGAGATTTGAGTAGATTTGGTCTCCAAAAATTTGCCGCAAACGTAACAAGTTGCATTTCTCATATCATATTATCTTCATCTTCATCTCTCACTTTCTTCGTTAATATCGTCATAGTCATGGTTTCATCTGGGAGTGCTGGTCTCTAACTGTCCACTTTTCTACTCGATGACGAGATCTCCAAGTCTGAGTATACCCTTTTCAATTGTCGTTGTTAACTTCTTCATTGTCGCTGTTTTCCTCTTCATTGTCGCTGTCTTCCTCTTCACTGTCGCTGTCTTCCTCTTCACTGTCGCTGTTTTCCTCTTCAATGTCGCTGTCTTCCTCTTCATTGTCGCTGTTGTCCTCTTCACTGTCGCTGTTTTCCTCTTCACTGTCGCTGTTGTCCTCTTCAATGTCGCTGTTTTCCTCTTCATTGTCGCTGTTGTCCTCTTCACTGTCGCTGTTGTCCTCTTCATTGTCGCTGTTGTCCTCTTCGCTGTCGCTGTTGTCCTCTTCAATGTCGTTGTTTATCATCTTGGTACTATGCGTGTTCTACGTTATGGCCGTGGTATCAGATCTCAGATCAAGGTTGGGTTTATACCTCTAACATGGCGAGAGATCTTGTTACATTGAAGCAAAAAATAAATGATATACAAACCGAACTAACGTAAAGAAACCGTAATAAAAAAAGGTTTGATGTGAGGTTAATATGAAGTAGACAGCCATTGAGCCATAGCTTTACATAGTGATTAGTGTGTGCCAATATTTGATCTGAATTTTGTGGCTTAGAGAGTGTTGTTATACATATGTGGATTAATTCCTGGTGGGATTACTTACTGAGCTGAATCGGGGCCGTTAGCCAATTGTAGAGCATTAGAGCCCGGCATGTAATCGGGGTTTGGCGGATTCTTACCCGCCCGGCACTATGCTGGCCCATGCTTTTCGAATCGCTTGACAGTGGGACATATTAGTCAATTCAAAATATCTGCTTGCTTGGTTATCAGGGTTGATACACATACAGCCCAACCAAACTACTTTGATAGACTGATTCACCTACATGTGCATACGCATCTGGGAGCCGTCAGTTGAGCTTGCCTTTGACTAGAGACTCGTGGTTGAAAACATCGTGTACAGTACTTCGTGAGTAGTTACTTACTTTAGGTTACTTAGGTAGGTTCGGCAGGGAGTTGGACGATGGTGGAGATGTTTTGGTTGTCGAAATGTCATTGACAGAGAGTAGTAGTCGGGGAAATATTGACTCTTATTTGGGCAATAGCCGGGTACTGTCCAAGAAAAAGTGTGAGGACAGTCTTCCTCAAGCACGTGTGTCTAATTTGCGAATGGTATGTAGGTGTTTCTTAAGGCCACTGAATGTCCCGTGAATAGGTGTGCACTGCAGTTCTGTAATTTTGGCTTTTGTTACTGAGAGTGTAGGTCGTGTTGACATTTTGCTTTGTTGATGATTTTGTGTCCAAGTGTCAGTTTAGTGTGTCTAGGTCATCAGTAATCCATGATTCTTGATTAAGTTTGGTTGCCTGTGTCGTCGGTCAGGCGTTTGATCGTTTGATGAAAGATTGTGGACTTGGGCATTCAAAAAGTGGATTCACTGGTTGTGCCAATTTTGGCCAGATCATTGCTTTTATCATTACCCCACCAACGATGTGTGCAGCTATCCATCTGATCTCTAAGGTGTTAGTGGATCCGAGGTGCTATTGAGGGTTGTCGCGTACAGTCTTATTAAGTTCTACTCCTCGTTGATGTGTGAGGATATATCTGATAGAGGAGAGGACTGTTGCCATAGATGATTGTGTGTGTTGGGCTATAAGTTGCGGATTTTAAAGAGCTTCGAATAACGGTGCAATAATCGGGAAGCTGAATGATCTTTCTTTTATGTAGTGATTTGTGTTGTCAGTTGTGATAAATATAACCAGCCCGCTACCCGAGTCTGTGGTGACCCGTCTGTGAGCTTTGTGATGGTTTCACTGGGAATGTTGTCGATGGGTTTTGGACTATGACACAGGCGAGCCTCATCTCTCCTATTCAATGTTGGTCAGTTCAGGAGTGGTGACCGTGAAGCGTCGTTCAAGCATCATGGTAGGTATAGATTAGATAGGTCTCTCTCTGCTTTGTGTGGTATGTTGAGGTCTACCATGAATTGTTTGTTTATAGTTGGTGTGAGTTGTGATGGTAATTTTCTGGGGGCGATAGTTCGAGGGTTAAGGCTACCATAGGCTTGAAGCCTGGCAGAACCTTTGCTGCTTCGCCTCCTCAGGAAAAGATGATTTCTGAGTGTTAGTGGAGGTGGTTCAGTGCGATGTGATGAAGGGAGTATTAGCAATAGGCTTGCACCAGACATCATTCTCAAATGCCAATGCCTGAACTCTTTTGAACTTCCTCGCGTTGGTATCTGTGTTGGATTGCCATAATCGTATCTCTACAGCATTATGAATAGGATAGGTCTGATGACAGCGGTTGTACATCCATTTGCATTTTTGGGGCTCCCTATACCATGTGGGGCGCAGTCTTTTACATTGCATAAGGGATTGCCGTCGTTTTTTGGGTGGATTGGCTGATATATTCATTACAATTGAGCTTGCTGTCGAGGGTCACTCCTAGGAATTTGGCGATTCGGAAAGACTATAGTGGTGTTACCCACCACCACAGGTCTTATTGTCCATTTTTATTCCACTTCCAGGTAAACATGACTATTTGTGTTTTTGAGTGCGCTTATGCATGATCTTTGGTTTGGCACCATTTTTTCTTATTGTGTTGATGGTTTTGAGGATGATATCTAAATCATTCCCCTCTGCAGAGAAATCAGATCGTCGCAAAAAGTTGCAGATCCCTGGTCTTGCGGTGGTAGGAGGAGAATCAGCGGACTACAGGTTCCAGAGGGAAAGGGGAAAGGATACACCTTGGGGGTGCACCTCTCCGGATCGAACCCTTTTCGACTTATCCTTATTATTTATGTGATGATTCTGTTGGGAGAGCTTATTACTTTATTAGTGAGATAAAAGTCAGATTTTTATTACGATATCCTATGTATTGATAAAATATTTTGTTGAGTAGACTGTGAAAACCTGATTTAAGAGTTGGTGAGGTAGCTAAGAGCGTGAAGAGGGATTGAAACAGAATTCGCAAAACTACCCCCGAATGAATCATTCCACACTTGCATATACCGTCCTATGCACTCAGTCCTTGTTTAGGTGTACAGCATACCATACATATTATACCGGCCCTACCATTCTCACCTCTCACGTGATTTCCACCCTATTTTTGAGGCACAGTGTATAACTGTAGCTGGCATTCTGTTGGGCAAAGGTGTTGGCAATTTTTGGCAGTTGGGACAGTGCCGACTAAGCATATAAAGTTAATGCGCATGTGGGATTATGGTATGGTATGTCATATGCTGGTGTGTGGCGTCCGTCAATATTATCAAGTTGTCTTAGAAAATTACTACAGATTTTCTTTTGTCTATCACATACAGTTCTCTTTAGCAAAATTACATGTGACAAGTAACGAGACAAGGATGCTCTTAGGATGAGGTGCGACAAATGATAAATTGTTCTAAGGACGTGAGGCTGTTATGCAGTAACGGCCCAAGCGAAAGGGGGATGGTTGTTCGTTGAGCTACTATGACGCGGTTATCAAGCTGGCAAAAAATGTGTGACCTGCTATTGCCGGCGCCGCGTAGACTTAAAACCCATGGTCCTCTAGGTAGTGCGCCATCGCAGTGAGCCGCGCGGCCGACAGTAGGATGGTTTTTAGCGCTAATTTCGGCAGCCACAATTTTCTTCAAACAAAATAGGATATTAATATCTTCCCGACCTACGATTGCACCAAAATTGGTAAGTCTTATATCATAGACTTACAAGGAGGTGTCCGAAAAGTTATATTGCATATCAACCATAGACATTATGTTACAGCTAAAAGCAGGTATTTTGCCCCATTTTGATCACTATATCAACTCCGTTATCACCAAAATTTTTCGGAACGTTGTGAAAAGCCCTATAGGAAGGTCGTCGCCAATTTTCGAATGATCTCATTCAAGGGAAACTGAAGATAATCCAAATAATAGCCAAAAATCACGAAGTTGGTCAAATTAGGTCCAAATTACGCGACTTTTACAGCTAATTTTGCTCCAAAAGCGCGCACATTCGAAATGGCACTAGGCGAAACTCCACTTGATTTTCCAAAAAAAGGTATGACAAATTTGGTATTGTGAAAATTCTCACAGTCGCTAGAAAACCATGGTACAAAATTTTAAAAATCCGAGCATTATTTTTTATAGGTAGTGTTGACTTACGGTAACAACCCAAAAAAAACAATGGTTTTAGCTAAAAAAAAAACCAGGGGGGTTTCTAATAGCCTCATGAATAATAGTTGTGTAAGCTTCATAAATCACTGTGATAAATTCTGTTAACCATCAGCAAATAGTGTCTAGTAACCATAGTAACTCTCAGTTAAGTAACCATAGTAACTCTCAGTTAAGTAACCATACTCCATAGTAACTCTCAGTTAAGTAACCATAGTAACTCTCAGTTAAGAATGTGTGACAGACCAGAGATTCGGGTCGGCCAAACAGAGGTAAAATCTTTTCAGGGATTTGGTAAAAGACAATCTTCTTACACAAAGTAAGTGCGAACAAGACAAATGGTTACTTTTCCCCTTTATATTCATTTCGGCTTCGTTGTTATAAGACACTTGTCTATTGGTTTGGAGGTGACCCAAATTTTTCCCGAATAGAACATTGTCATATATTCTTCTCAAATGACGGCTTTTTATGGTCGTAGGAAAGATAACTTATTTCCCACAACGCTCAAATTCAATATTAGAAATGCACTCTAGGGTGGCACAAAGGGACAACTATAAGGGTGGCACAAAGGAAAAACTATAAGGGTGGCACAAAGGAACAACTATAAGGGTGGCACAAAGGAAAAACTATAAGGGTGGCACAAAGGAACAACTATAAGGGTGGCACAAAGGAACAACTATAAGGGTGGCACAAAGGAACAACTATAAGGGTGGCACAAAGGAACAACTATAAGGGTGGCACAAAGGGACAACTATAAGGGTGGCACAAAGGGACAACTATAAGGGTGGCACAAAGGAACAACTATAAGGGTGGCACAAAGGAACAACTATAAGGGTGGCACAAAGGAACAACTATAAGGGTGGCACAAAGGAACAACCTATAAGGGTGGCACAAAGGGACAACTATAAGGGTGGCACAAAGGGTGGCACAAACAACTGTAGTCAAGTCTATCAAGATCCATGTCCGGATACCTAGCCACTAGACTATCCTTTGTCTAATATGAACTACCTTATCGAACTTTATTTGGTCAGACATTACGTAAAACAAGAGGTCTCCCGTCTCAATATGTTATAAATGGCCGACTCAAGTATAAGTCCAGCTACCATGTACCCTCAAAGGCATTTTTGTGTCCCTAATCATTTCCACCCAAAATTATATCCGTCTACGTAATGTTCGTCCAAATAAGGCAACTCTAAACTGTGAAATTTTAACTCTCACAGGATAAGTGCACCTCCAGGAGGTCACACCCAACTCAACTTGTTCGGGGGTCCCCCAGAACCAGCTCCAGTTAGAAAAGAAACCGTCAACCAGTGCCAATACGAGAGAAACAAGTCCTCTATCACTGACCAATACACAGGTGCTTTGTTAAACTGACAATAAGATACTAGACAAACCTATTATTACTTATCACTCTATAAATATGCTTGAAACTGTTTATAATAGCCATAGCAGAAACCATGTGTAGTAACATTGGATATATACAATGCCGACCGGCTATAATTAACCAGCTAGCTGGCTATTAGCCGGCTGATAGGTATTTTGTGCCTCCAAAATGGCTATTAGAGGGCTGTTACTGTAATCCTATTTTAATTGCATTTCTACAGCCCCTTTCCACTAACCTCGGTCAGCTCTTTGGAAAATCTTAACAGCCCTCTTACAGCCCTTTAACAGCCCTCTATTAGCTGGCTAATAGCCGACGCTTACTTGTGAATTGTTGTGGCTAAAATCCGGCTGTTAAAGGGCTATGAGCCGTTAATAGCCGGTCGGCATTGTCCCTATTTGTTGTGTGGTGTAATGAGTCAGCTAGCTGGATAAAACAGTAGCCTTCTGGCTAGAAAGAGTATTTCTCAGATAAATATTACAACACAGGAGTTACAAGTTAACACACATGTAACCAATTCAGGTCAGGAAGCACCAGCAGACGATCTGAAGAGCCCCGTTATTGAGGCATCCCCTTCCTCCTCCTAAGAAACCTGCGACCAAGATCATGCAACCTCCTGGAGGACGAACCTCCCTCTCTCTGTTCGGGTAGAAGGACTAAAAATTTTAAAAACTCCGATTTGAGACTTTGATTCCGAGGATTTTGAGTTTTCAGGATTAGGGAATAAACTGACTGTAAATTTCGATTGAAATATTAAATAAGGACGGTGATTCAAGTTTGTACTTTGTGGACGACAAAATTGCTAGTTAAAATAATTTTTCTTGAGATAACCATAATTGAAATGTTTATTATCAAACCGTGTTGTAAATTATAATAGTAATTATTGATGTTTTTTTGAAATTTGATTTATGATATTTTGAATAACTATTTCCTGGTTTGATTTATAAATTCGGTAGACATACTCGTGAAAATGTCATATTTATTAAAATGTGGATTTTCTGGATACAGTGTAAAACTAGCAGTCCTAAAGTCCCTACCATATATATTTTCTTTAAAGGTTGATAAGGCTTAAAAGTAGGAGGTCTTCGAGAATTATTATTTTAAAATATGTGCCTAAGGATCTCAAGCTTGTTAGTTTCACAAAGACGGGCAGGTTGTTTCAAGAATCGCCGAGCTTATTCTATTGCAGTGAAGTTCTGGCTATACGACAAGGAGCAGGGATGATTTCAATGTTGCAAAAAGTAACAGTAAAATAACAACTTTGGCTATCTAATCCTTGGCTTTTCTATAATTCTGCTCGTGAATTTAGACATGACAATGTAAGTTTTCAATAATATATGAAGTGAAGGGTAGCTTCCTAATTAGTCGATGGGATTTTAACCAAAAGTCGAAAGTTCGAGGGTTGAGGGACTAGGGTCCCCGGTGCAACTTTAATAAGCACATAAGCAGTAAGACTGCACCAGAGCCACATCAGAGTGACTTCAGGGCGACTTCAGGGCGACTTCAGGTCGACTTGAGGGCTCATTAAGTTTTCTGGTTAGATAAGAAATCAATTTAACTCGTATAACAGTCGCAGTGTAACTGGCAACACTAACTAGATTTGGTCAACCAATTAGGATTTTAAAATTAAATTTCAAATCACAGCTGCCAGACAGAATTATCTATTACAATTCGAGTAGATTGTGAGGGATTTGTCATTAGCCAAATCGCACCACTTGCGAACAAAAAGAGATATTTCCCAGTATTTTTAGCGTCAGGCTTCGAGGATACTGCCAAGAGATTAGTATAAGTTTTTATCTTTCCCACTGAATCTAATTAAAATCTAATTAAAGTGGTTAATCATATTTTGAATATAACGAAGCCACGCAATCACCGCGTTAGAAACCATGTATTTATGTGCACTGTGCAGCAGGTAAAATAAAATCTGCCTCATTACCGTATTTGTTTGCCAGTTTCTCACGTGGCTTTTTTTTTCAGAAAAATAAAATGTTTTGTTGAGACGCGATTATATTTAATTTTGGAGGCCATGTTTGTTGTATTGACGGAATTTTTCGATTTCATTAAAAGTAAACTTTTTCATATGGATTTAATATTAAAATATCATTAAAAGTAATAAACAACTCTTTAAATGAATATGCATATCTCAGACACCTGAAGCATTATGTTCTTAACATATTATATTTATAATGTAGAGTCTATTAGTGAATAGTCACTTACAATATTTCAGACAGAATGAGAATGATCGGTATCATCTCACTCCTAGTTGCTATCACTGCAATCTCAGCAGGTAATGTAAAAACGTTGAATATATTTTAATTACAGATCAGAATGCTATTTGTAAGAACGTCCTAAAATCAATAAAGAATTACAATTAAATATTGATCGTGACTTATATTATATAATAACCTTATTTGTTACCGTGCCGTGACGCGTGGATAACAGAATACTAATATTTCAGTGCCCACCCCAAATGAGTGTCCGAGGATCATGTCAGATGCGGGGTTAACGAGTGGTTTTTGCTCCTATGGTAGCTCACTCCATCCACTCCCTGGCTTTGGAGGACATCCGTTATTACTTCAAGAGTGATGCTACCGAGGAGAACGGCATCCCGACAGGTTTGTTGTACGCTTGAAGGTGGGAGCTCAGCTTTCTGATTAAATTGTTATCTTAGATTATTGCTGATACTTTTATTACAAGTTATAAGTATAACCTACTTATTGTATTATTATTGATCAAATAAAAATGTACTAAGTTAGGTAACTACTAACTACCGGTAGTTTCGTCAGATCATGCTACTATAGTTGGGCACGTTACAACTTACAATAGAAATATCACCAATAAGTAAATTATAAACCTTAGTTTTTAATCAAATTAAAAGTCTTAATCTTAATATAATGCTTCAATTTAATTTTCAGTGAACTTTGATCTGGGAGCTGAGAAGAGAGTCGTTCCTAACGCCCCACTGGTAGGATACGATGAGGACTTCTCTACAATTGGCATGAGGAGCTTTGACTTGGTAATAATGTAGCTAGCTTTTCTAAAATCCCCGTTACATTACACAAGAAATCACCGTCATCGGTCGACTTTATATTTACGTGGATCACATCACTGAAATCAGTATTTCTCATATGTAAACCTGGATAAAGCTCTACTGTATTTTTAACAAAATTAATAACTCTGTCCAGGTAATGCGGAACATGAACCGAACCGGCTGGGGGTCAAGGAACCAAAACATCTTAGTGAAGTTAACCCACGTTCTTCACATGTCGGAGATGTGGGATAGTGTCGCTCGGAGCTACAAGATGATCGCGCGGCTTTTGGACCCGCAGTCAGATATTTGCGCTTGTGTGACAGACGTTGAGAATAACGATGTGCTGAATTATCTTCATTTTCTTGCTTTCAAGCTACGATACCCTGGAATTACTTCGGGAAATGAAACTATTACCGCTCGTTGTGAGTATAGGTTTAGGTATTTTGGCTAGGTTCGTAACAGTCTTATCTAAACTTAAGTGTTTCGTACTGGTTCGCACAATTAAACACTCGTTTTTCCGAATCAATATTAGATGCTAGTTTAAAAACGGAAAAAAAAATTAGACTTAGAAAAAAAAAACTTTTAGTGAAAATTTAAAATTTGCTTAATAATCTTTCAGTTTTGTACGATGGAACATTAATATTTGGTGTTTATACTGAACTAAAACTCCCAGATTTGTCCAAAGAGGGAAGAGCTAAACGAAGCATGGTGTTTATACTGAACTAAAACTCCCAGATTTGTCCAAAGAGGGAAGAGCTAAACGAAGCATGGTGTTTATACTGAACTAAAACTCCCAGATTTGTCCAAAGAGGGAAGAGCTAAACGAAGCATGGTGTTTATACTGAACTAAAACTCCCAGATTTGTCCAAAGAGGGAAGAGCTAAACGAAGCATGGTGTTTATACTGAACTAAAACTCCCAGATTTGTCCAAAGAGGGAAGAGCTAAACGAAGCATGGTGTTTATACTGAACTAAAACTCCCAGATTTGTCCAAAGAGGGAAGAGCTAAACGAAGCATGGTGTTTATACTGAACTAAAACTCCCAGATTTGTCCAAAGAGGGAAGAGCTAAACGAAGCATGGATGAAGAGTATGATTACGACTACGATTTTTGCTGGGGGGATAATTCCAATATTGACTATCTGAGGACTCCTCGCCCAGATTTCCGTAAACTGGACTTCGACCTCGGTGATTTGGAGGTAACAGACGATTTAATTAATTGATTCATATTACTACCGATTCATTAAATTGATTAATTTGTAGACTGCCGTAATTTTATAAGTCCAATATACTCGATTGATGGGGAAGGGTTGTCAAACAAAAAGCCGAAAATTTCCAATCTGGCAGCTGATTCGTTTTTAGCGCAAGCTTTATAATTCACAACAGTACGTGTGTCAGGGAAATTTCAAAAGACTTTCCAAATTAAACGTCTGCAATTCACCTTTTTTCCTAAAACAAACCCAATTTTAGATACTGGAGGATGTAGCAAAAGTAATGACTGACGGTGACGAAGGAACAGCCGCAGTTCTGCTGGACAGTGCGGACCACTGGGCTTGGTGGAGGGACATGGTTAAGGGGCTGAACATGGGCGAGGCTGGCTACTATGATATCGCTGTTTTCATGTTCTGTTCGCTCAATTAAACGGAGCAAATATGTTGAACCTTTTGAACGCGAGCGTCACGTTTGGTAGTGTTACGCATGCATAATCATGATGATGACTTAAAAGTATAATTGAATTTAAATTAATTTATTGTTGGGCAAGTTAAAACTATAAGAAGAGCCAGTGTCGTAACGAAGGGCCCCGGGCAACGTTACGCCACTGAGAGGAGCTGATTCTTGTAATTTTATCTCATCAGTAAGTTCTTGAAAGGAAACTTTTTATTGGTTAAAACAACATTTTTTAATTGTATCAAAAGTTTTATTTTGAAAAACTAAATCAATTTATAATTATTGTAATTGTAATATTTTCTTATCATCGATTAAAAAGTGTTTATTCTGTTTGTAAATTATCAGATGAATAATAATCGAAAATTCGTATAGTATTTACTGGCGGTTCACTAGCATTAATAAACATAAGGAAAATTAAGAAATATGTTCATTTTTTTCTAGGTTAGAAATTTAAAACGTGCTTCAGTATCTTACAAAATAAAAATCAGTCTGAAATTATTGTTTTATCGCAATAAAAATGATTAAGTTGCGATAAAATTCTGCAAATAAATTGTGTCTCTTTACCCATATGTAATCTACAATGTTATGTCCAGTTATTCATCGACTTAAACCTCAAATAAGGTCCTATCAAGTTCTACTTCATTTTCATCTCCTGTGATTTCAAATATGATAGGTAGGTGGTCTGAACCTATGTTTTCAGCAGTCTTCCACTTGACTTCAGCAGTCTGCCACAGGGTTTTGGAGACCATAGTTATGTCAGGGGAACTTCTACCCTCGGTGGTAGCGCTTCTCCTTCTCCTGTAGAAAAATAAAAATAAAAATAAAACCGTAACTAAAAATTGCAACAACTGGCTGCAATCTGGTTTTGCAAAACTTGCATCTGTTCAAAAAGTAAAATGTAACCTTATTGCTTATAATTCACACGGATCGAACAGCATGCATTTATAAATTATAAAAGTTTACAATCATGCACGATTTAATTTCTCATTTACCAGAAATGCAATTTTTTGTAAATGTGTCCTAATGAAACCCAATGGCCATTTCAGCTTAGCGATAATTACTTACCCAGGTACAACCGTGGGTGATCCGTCATTGCAGCAAACCATATCTTTATCTTTCATAAATTTAATGACACCGGTGCCCATGTCGTTCTCAGGTTGGGATTTGTCCCATTGCTTATTGTGGGCATTAAAATCACCAGCAATCACGCAGTTGTTGGATGCAGGGATCCAATCGATATTTGCCTCGTCAGAGCGATCACTCCCAGGTTTGGGCCCAGGGTAGTAAACATTTGTTATATCAAACCATTTTCCGTTCTTTTGCTGGATGCTGACACTGAGGGTTTCTACATTTCCTTTGAGTTTGTCAAGTTCAACGCCTTCTTTTCTCTTGAAATTCAGATCTTCTTTTATGTACATAATCAGTCCTCCACCCTGATTTTTATTGCCGGGCCTATCCTTTCTTTCAACTTTGTATCCGCGTATTTCTGGAGTTCTTGTACAATTGGTCGTGAGCTTAGTTTCTTGGATAAGAACTATATTTACATTTTCCTTCTTCATTAGCACGCTAAGTTTCTCGGTTTTTGTGTTGATGCCCCTTGCGTTCCATTGTAGAAATTTGAGATTGGGCTGGATGGTACCAGATTCTGGACGGGGTATTTTCTTACAATCGTCTGTGTCACACTCCCAAGCATTATTACAGTACAAGTATTCGTAACGACCCTGCTGCAGTCTTGTGCATTTGAAATGGCATTCATTCTTGCAGTTGCATGTTTGACACGTCATTCGATTGACTTTTTGCCCTATAGTTCCCGAACACACGAGGCAGCTGCTTTTTTTAAGGGTCGGTATTGGTTCGCCTTTACAAGGATAGCATTTCGAATGGACCCTTCCTTTTTTTAAATCAATCTGAGATATTTTGGCGCACATTCGATGGGCTTTGTTCGGGCACTTAGCAATAGTACAAGAGATTTGAGTAGAATTTGGTCTCCAAAATTTGCCGCAAACGTAACAAGTTGCATTTCTCATATCATTCTTTTCTTCATCTTCATCTCTACTTTCATCGTTAATATCGTCATAGCTCATGGTTTCATCTGGAGTGCTGGTCTCTAACTGTCCACTTTTACTACTCGATGACGAGATCTCCAAGTCTGAGTATACCTTTTCAATGTCGTTGTTAACCTCTTCATTGTCGCTGTTTTCCTCTTCATTGTCGCTGTTTACCTTTTCAATGTCGTTGTTCACTTCTTCATTGTCGCTGTTTTCCTCTTCATTGTCGCTGTTTACCTTTTCAATCTCGTTGTTCACCTCTTCAAGGACGCTGTTTTCTTCTTCATTGTCGCTGTTTATCTTTTCAATGTCGTTGTTTACCTCTTTAATGATGCTGCTTGAAGATGAACCCTCATTTTTGTTACTCATGCCGTGTTCTACTTTATGGCCGTGGTATCAGATCCTCAGATCAAGGTTGGGTTATACCTAAACCTGGCGGAGATATTGTTACATGAAGCAAAGAAATAAATGATAACAAACCGAACTAACGTAAAGAAACCGTAGAAAAAAGTTTGATCGAGGTTAGTAATATGAAGTAGACAGCCATTGAGCCATAGCTTTACATAGTGATTAGTGTGTACCAATATTTGATCTGGAATCTCTTGTGGCTTAGAGAGTGTAGTTATACATATGTGGATTAATAGCTGTGGATTAATTCCTGAGCTGAATAGGGCCGGTAGCTCAATTGGTAGAGCACCAGGCATGTAATTCGGAGGTTGACGGATCATACCCGCCCTGGCACTATGCCGGCCCATGATTTTCCGAATCGCTGACCAGTGGAAATCTAGTCAATTCAAATATCTACTTGCAGGATACTCAGGGTCGATACAATCACAGCCCAACCAACTTCTTGATCAGACTGATTCACCTACATGTGCATACGCCATCTGGGAGCCGTCAGTTGAGCTTGCAGTTGCTCTCTGACTCGTGGGTTGAAAACATCGTGTACAGTACTTCGTGATTAGTACAGTACTTCACAACGATAATCCGCCTCCCCAACCAAATATCTTATGTGGATTAATACATGTGGAGTAATCATAGCACAATTTCACTGACACCTTCAGCAATTGGATGGTGATTAATCACAATATATTCGACTATCACGTGACTTTTCCAACCCGTTTTCAAGCTGGACCTGAACGACTATTTGAAAGCCAAACTCAAAATAGTCGCGGCGAATTTGCGGCAAAAGATAATATATTTGCAGAGCTAAATTAGATGTCCTAATCACACTGAAGTATAAGCAAAAAAAACAAATCGCTCATCGGACTACTGGGATATACTAATCTTACGGCTTGATATTGAAAATGCAGAGGAGTAATATTATTGTATTGTGCGACTTAAATTAAAAGTCTTATACCCAGACTTCTACAGGCTAGAAATCTTGGAACAGTAAACAAAATATTGATTTGAATTACAGAAATAAACTCGATGTTCCATTTTTACACACTACTACTCTATCGTAGATTTAGTTCATAATCCAGCATCATGATGAGGAGATACAGTTATTATCTCAATTCTCATAGTCACGTGATAGTAGCTGGCAGAGTCATGGGGTCGGGAGAGGCTTTTTTTTATTAAAAAAAGAGAGGCTGGGCCTGGTTGGCCCACGAGAGGATAGCATATGGATGCTTTGCCTACCTCTGGGGTATGGCAGTCCTGTGGGAGGATGCCGGTGGAATCAAGATGTGTAATCAAGGATGATGGTAAGTGTTGTGGGGTGTGTCAAAGATGAACGATTAGGTGGTGGTTGAGTGTGGAAGAGAGAGGCGAACTAAGACGACGTTTGAGTAGTCGCTATGTTACACCGGTCTGGTCCTACTCCTCTGGCACCATTAAGCGTTTAGTGTAGTTAGCAAAGTTGACGATGGTGGAGATGTGTTGGTTGTCGAATAAATCATTGACAGAGAGGTAGTAGTCCCGGAAATATTGACCTCTTATTTGGGCAATAGCCGGGCACTGTCTAAGAAAGTGTGAGACAGTCTCCTCTTCGTCGCCACATTTAGGACAAGCACTTGTGTATTATTTGCGAATGGTATGTAGGTGTTTGTTAAGGCCACGTGAATGTCCCGTGATGAGGTGCACTGCAGTTCTGTAATTTTGTCTGTTGTTACTGAGTGTAGTGTTGAGATTTTTGATGATGTTGATGTTTTTGTGTCCAAGTGTCAGTTTAGTGTGTCTAGGACCATCAGTAATCCATGATTCTTGATTAAGTTTGGTGACTTTGTCGTCGATCAGGCGTTTGATGTAAGATTGTGGAATTGGGCAATTCAAAGTGGATTCACTGGTTGTGCCAATTTTGGCCAGATCGTCTGCTTTTTCATTACCCCACAATCCGATGTGTGCACTGTGCAGCTATCCATCTGATCTCTAAGGTGTTAGTGGATCCTAGTGTATTGAGGGTGTCGGGAAGTTGTTCGTTTAGCTCCGGACAGTCTATGCACGGTCACTGCACGGTCCCTGCACGGTCCATGCAACAACAAAAGAACACTCCATGCACGGTTTCTGCACGGACCCTGCACGGACCCTGCACAATGAACACTTGATGCACGGTCCCTGCACGGTCAGTCCCTGCACACTCCCTGCACGGTCTATGCACACTCCCTGTACGGTCTATGCACGGTCCCTGCACGGTCCCTGCACAGTAACATATGAACACCGGCTACTAGCTACTTTTGTAATAACAGCTCCTCAACTTCACATTACCAAACCGGCTACTAACCGGCACTTAAAAAGTGGTCACTAGCCGGCTACTAGCCGGCTAGTGACCACAAAGCGGCTACTAACCGGCTACTAGGCGGTCACTAGCCGGCTATTAGCTGAGCTCTAAAACAGACCTACTTTCTCGAGGTTTCAAACCGGCTAATAGCCGGCTACTAGCCGGCACTTGAAAAGCGGTCACTAGCCGGCTACTAACCGGCTACTAACTGGCTAGTAGCCACCAAGTGGCTACTAACCAGCTACTAGGCGGTCACTAGCTGGCTATTAGCTGAGCTCTAAAACAGACATACTTACTCGAGGTCACTAGCCGGCTACTGACCGGCTACTGACCGGCTAGCCGGCTATTAGCTTGGCCCTAAAGCAGACCTACTTTCGCGAGGTCCCAACCGGCTACTAGACGGCACTTGAAAAGCGGTGCTCTAAAACTTTCTTGAGGTCACTAGCCGGCTACTAACCG